CCTTCAACAGAGGAACAGCGTCAAAATCCTACCCCTTCAACAGAGGAGCAGCGTCAAAGTCCCGCCCCTTCACCAGAGGAGCAGCGTCAAAGTCCCGCCCCTTCAACAGAGGAACAATGTCAAAATCCCGCCCCTTCAACAGAGGAGCAGTGTCAAAGTCCCGCCCCTTCAACAGAGGAGCAACATCAAAGTCCCACCCCTTTAACAGAGGAGCAATGTCAAAATCCCGCCCATTCAACCAAGGAACAGCATCAAAATCATGCCCATTCAACCGAGGAGCAGCGTCAAAGTCCTGCCTCTACAACCGAGGAGCAGCGTCAAAGTCCTGCCCCTTCAACAGAGGAGCAGTATCATAGTCCCGCCGCTTCTTCAGAGAAGCAGCATCAAAGTCCTGCCCCAACAGAGGAGCAACGTCAAAGTCCTTCCCCTTCAACAGAGGAGCAGCATCAAAGTCCTGTCCCTTCAACCAAGGAGCAACGTCAAAGTCCTTCCCCTTCAACAGAGGAGCAGTGTCACAGTTTTGCCCCTTCAACAGAGGTGCAGAGTCAAAATCCTGCCCCTTCAACAGAGGAGCAGTGTCAAAGTTCTGCCCCTTCAACAGAGGTGCAGAGTCAAAGTCCTGCCCCTTCAACAGGGGAGCAGCAACAAAGTCCTTCCCCTTCAATAGAGGAGCAGCGTCAAAGTTCTGCCCCTTCAACCGAGGATCAACGTCAAAATCTTGCACCTTCAATCGGGGAGCAGCGTCAAAGTCCTTCACCTTCAACAGAGGAGCAGCATCGAAGTCCTGCTACTTCAACTAAGGATCAACGTCAAAGTCCTACTCCTTCAAAAGAGGAGCGGTGTCAAATTCCTTCACCTTCAACAGAGGAGCAGCATCAAAGTCCTGCCTCTTCAACAGAGGTGCAGTGTCAAAGTCCTGCCCTTTCATTTGTGGAACAGCGTCAAAGTCCTGCCCCTTCAACAGAGGGGCAACGGCAAACTCCTGCCCCATCAACAGAGGAGCAGAATCAAAGTCCTTCACCTTCACCAGAGGAGCGGCATCAAAGTCCTTCACCTTCAACAGAGGAGCGGCATCAAAGTCCTACACCTACTACAGTGGAGCAGCATCAAAGTCTTGTACCTACTACAGAGGAGCTACATCGAAGTCCTGCCCCTTCAACAGAAGAGCACCATCAAAGTCCTGCCCCTTCAGCAGAAGAGTACCATCAAAGTCCTGCCCTTTCAATGGAAGAGCATCATCAAAGTCCTGCCCCTTCAATGCAGGAGCAGTATCAATGTCTTACACCTTCAACAGAGGTGCAACTTCAAAGTCCTACCCCTTCAACAGAGGAGCAATGTCACCGTCCTACTCTTTCAGAAGAGGAGCAGCATCAAAGTCCTGTTCCTTTAATTGAAGTGCATTGTCAAAGTCCTGCATCTTCAATGGAAGAGGAGTGTCTACGTCCTGCACCTTCATTGGAGGAGCAGCGTCAAAGTCCTGTCCCTTCAAAAGAAGTGCTGCATCAAAGTCCTGTTCCTTCAAAAGAAGTGCTGCGTCAAAGTTCTGCACCTTCATTGGAGGAGCAGCATCCTGTCTCTTCAAAAGAAGTGCTGCGTCAAAGTCCTGCACCTTCAATGGAGGAGCAGCATCGAAGTCCTGCACCTTTAGTGGAGGAGCAGTATCAATGTCCTGTCCCTTCAACGGAAGAGCAGCATCAAAGTCCTGCCCCTTCTATAGAGGAGCAGAATCAAAGTCTTGCACCTTTTGAGGAGGAACTACGTCGAAGACCTGCACCTTTTGAGGAAGAGCCACTTCAAACTCCGGCCCATCCTACAGAAGAGCAGCAGCATGAAAGTCTGGCACCGTATACAAATGAGCAGTGCCAAAGTCCTGCAGCTTCTTCAGAGGAGCCACATGAAAGTCCTGCACCTTCTATTAAGAAGTTCCATCAAATTTATGCATCATCCCCACATGAGACCCATCCAAGTGCTTTACTGGTTCATAAAATACACAAACACACTCCTCCATGTTCTCCTAAATCCACCAATAAATGTCCAGGTCTTTCTATTGAAGGGCATCATCAAAGTCCAGTTTGGGTAGAGACCCAATTGAATCTGGAAGATTCTCTGGAAAAGACCCAACAAAGTCTGTCATCATCTCCAAAGGGAACACAAGGAAATCTTGAAGCACTTTTACAAGAGACGCTTCAAACTACAGCATTGTCTTTAAAAGAGATTCATCAAAGTCCTGATACGTCTCCAAAAGACATCCATCAAAGTCGGGCATCATTTTCAAAGGAAAGCCATCAAAGTTTTGTATGTCCTTTATCATCTCTAAATGACATTTATCAGAGTCCAGTGTTGTCTCCAAAAGACATCCATCCACGTCGGGCATCATCTCCAAAAGTCCTCCATCATTGTCCGACATTGTCTTTGAAAGACATCCATCAAAGTCTGACTTTGTCTCCAAAGGACGACCATGAAGGTCTGGCACCATCAGTAAAAGCAATCCATCATACTTTAGCATTGTCTCCAAAAGAAGTCCATCAAAGTCCAGCTTCGTCTCCAAAAGAAGTCCATCAAAGTCCATCATCGTCGCCAAAAGAAGTCCATCAAAGTCCAGCAACGTTTCCAAAAGAGACCTATATGGATTCATCCGTTTGTCAGAGCCAAGAAGTTCCCGTATCATTTCCAGAAGTGACCCATCACTGTCAGGCCCCCTCATCAGAGGAAAACCATGAAAGTTTAGATGAGCTCCAAGAAGTTCCTGCACCATTTTCAGTGGAGAACTATCAAAGTCCTACACAGTCTCCCAGTCAAAGTCAGATTCAACAAAGTCCTACATCTTCCTTGGTAGAGACTTATCAAAGTTCTTCTTCAGCTCTTTCAACAATGTGTCTACATTCTCAAACACAGTCAAATCCTCAACAACTTTCGGATATATTTTCTGGTGAATTGTGTCAGATTTCAGAACCATGTCTAGAAGACATCCAGCAAACTCCAGAGTCATGTTCAGAACATGCCCCCCAAAGTCCTATACCTTCTCCCAAACACGCCGACCAAAGTCCTACACCTTCTCCCAAACATGCCTACCAAAGTCCTGCACCATCTGTAGAGGACAGATTACAAAGTTTTCCACAATCTGGATCATCTCCAAAAAACACTCTTCAAAGCCCTGCACTGTCCCCAGAGAGAACTCGCCAAAGTCCTGTACCGTCTTTAGAGGTAATCCATCCAAATCTTGGACCATGTCATGAAGAGCTTAAAAAAAACCCCACAAACTCTGGAGAAATCCCACCACTGTCTCTCAAAGAGATCCATCAGAGTACGTTGGTTTCTCTTGCAGAACCTCCAGGATTCCAAGAAGGTGCCAATCATTCTAGCCCTTCTCCTGCACAGCTTCAGAATTGTTCCTCACTGCCTCACTTGGGTCAGACAGAACTTGGATCAGGTTCCTTTCTGCAGGAACATCCCTCATCATTTCACCCTAATCCTTCACAGGACCAAGAAAGAAACACCCTAGCTCACCTTTGTCAAGGAAGTTCTACACTCAGTCAACCTTGTCCACCAAAACCCAAATTAGGTCAAGGAGCCTCTCTTTGTCCTGCTGTGCAGCACCAAAGTCCTACGGTTTGTGCACAGGACCAGCAGAGTTCTTGTCATCTCAACTTCACCTCTTCTAGTCCTATACAGAATCCCTCAGAGGATCAGCAGAGACCAGTTCAGACTGCTCACAGCCCTCCACCACAGAGTCTGACAGAGCTGGACCTTAGTCCTACTAGGGTTCAACCAGGACCTGCAGAGTCTAATAACAGTCCTAAACACAAGACTCGTCTCAGCAGGTCATTGAGTCCAACGTCACCTCCTCACAGTCCCACACAAGAGGCTACTGGATCAGACCCTTTCGACCCAGAACCCCTACAAGCCTGCAATAAGTTCAGCTCTGCTCCATGTAGCCCAAACCCTCCCCCATTCAGACCTGGACTGTGCAGTCTGATTCAGCCCAGCAGTCCAGAACAGCTGCAGTGTGACCAGGCTGTCGGGCCTTCAGAGACCACCACAGAACCAAGTTCTCAGTCTAATGGGCAAACATTGGGAAGTAGATCAGATCTCCCCCAAACCCGTACACCAGAAAGCCTTGATCACAGCAGCCTAACTGGCTCGCCTTGTACGCAGGAGACAAAAGTGAATCAGAGTCCTTGTAGCAGTCCATTACCATGCCGTGGAACTGTTGAAGCAGCCGGTGATGGTTCCACACAATCTGCCGCTGGTTTTTGCCCCACGCCTATTGAGACCAGTTCCCCAACACAGTCAGCTAGTCCTAGAACAGTAAATCAACCAGAACCTTTGTCCTGTCAGGTCTATCCTGACAGTCTGGTCCACACAGAGGTCGTCAGTGGTTCTGGTTCTAGTTCGACACAGATTGGTTCCACACACTTCCAGAGTTTTTGCAGGCCTCCTTCCAGTCCTTCACATGGTCCTCCAACTAATTCTGATCTTGCTGATGCCTTTGGTACCCACAGTCTAAACCAGATTCCCTCATATGGTGAAAACCAGATGAGTCCTTGCTGTGTGAGCCTATTGCGGTCTAGTCTTGCTGGTCAAGCTAGTCCTGTTCAGACTACTAGCCATTCCACTTGTGTGAGCCCACCTGACACTCCGGCTCAGGCTAGGGAAACCCAAAACCAACTCCCTGTACCCACTCGGAGTACTGCAATCAGTACTGACCTTACTGGAACACAAGAGAGTTCTGAATTAGACCTGGATGTGGTCCTTGTAGCTAGTCCCATTGTGCAAGAACCTGATAGTCTATCTGCTGTTGGTCCAACCACTGCTGGTTCTACATCAGATGGGTCACTGAGCCCCTCACACCGAAGACCAGAAACGAGCCCTATCATTCTGGTCCCATCCAGTCCCAAGCCTGGATCTATGCTCACCAGTAACTCCAGTCCACCTAGCTCCGCCCACTCACAGGTTAGCCCTCCTCATAAAGTCTATACTTCAAGTCCTGTTGGTAGCCCTGTTCCTCTTAGTCCCATCCGGCTACAGCATAATCCTGGTCCTGCTAGTCCGGTTCAGCCAGTGTCTGAACCTGACCTTCATTCTGTTAGTCCAGTGCAGCCAAAGCCCAGTCTTGATCCTGGTCCTGTAAATCCTGTTCAGCAGAAACATAGTCCTAATCCTGTTATTCCCACGCAACTCGAGCAGAGTCCTGACTTAATTAGTCAACCACAAACTGTCCCTGGTCTCCTAAGTCCTATACAGCCAGATTCTGGTTTTGGACTTGGTCAGCAGATTGGGCCTGATGTGGAGAGTGGAGCTTCTGGAGGTAAGTTTGGTGGAGACTTCAGAACCAAATGCAGGATCAATTTTAGGTTTTTTACAAACTCTTACTGTTCCTACAGATGTTGGCCCATCAAAGAAACCAGGGAGGAGCAAAGAAGAGGAGGAGGCACCAGAGGATCCAGGAGGTGAAGAGGAGCGAGCTCAGGCTGAGGGTGAAGAAGACCAGCTCCACATGGTTTCAGAGTCAGAGAGTCAGAGAGACTCTGACTCAGTCTGTTCTCCTTCAGGTAAGCAGCACTTCCTTCTACCTGACAGGTAGCACCAGGTGTAACCTCACATGCTCCTCCACACAGGTCAGAGCCATGGATGCCTGCCTGATCAGACTGGTATAAATAGTTTCACATAGTTTCTGATTGGTTTGTCCCAGTTCCACATTGGTTCTGATTGGTTTGTTCCAGTTCTACATTGGTTCTGATTGGTTTATCCCAATTCCACATTGGTTCTGATTGGTTTGTCCCAGTTCCACATTGGTTCTGATTGGTTTGTCCCAGTTCCACATTGGTTCTGATTGGCTTGTCCCGGTTCCACATTGGTTCTGATTGGTTTGTTCCAGTTCTACATTGGTTCTGATTGGTTTGTCCCAATTCCACATTGGTTCTGATTGGTTTGTCCCAGTTCCACATTGGTTCTGATTGGTTTGTCCCAGTTCCACATTGGTTCTGATTGGCTTGTCCCAGTTCTACATTGGTTCTGATTGGCTTGTCCCAGTTCTACATTGGTTCTGAATGGCTTGTCCCAGTTCTACATTGGTTCTGATTGGCTTGTCCCAGTTCTACATTGGTTCTGATTGGCTTGTCCCAGTTCTACATTTGTTCTGATTGGCTTGTCCCAGTTCCACATTTGTTCTGATTGGCTTGTCCCAATTCCACATTTGTTCTGATTGGCTTGTCCCAGTTCTACATTGGTTCTGATTGGCTTGTCCCAGTTCTACTTTGATTCTGATTTGACCACACCTCCTCTACACTGTTTCAGACTGGTTTAAATCATGTTTACATTGGTTCAGACCTATGTAAATCAGTTTTACACTGGTTTAGACTAGTTTAATCTGGTTCTGACTAGTTTAATGTGGTTCATTCATTCCACCTTTTTTTTTTTAATACAGGTTAGTCTCATTGAGCCTCGAGGACTCATTCACACTAGTTTAATCTGGTTCAGACTAGTTTAATCTGGAAGAGATTTGACCTGGTTCAGGCTGAAGGCTTCAGCATACTTGGGCATACTTCAGTCCACAGAGGTCTGCGTGTACCGGAGGGATTAGAGTTGAAGCAGATGCCCGTAGGGCATGTTCGTGCAAAGCTCAATTTTTTTACCTCATATTCGGTGTCGCACAATAAACTAGGGATGGGGCCGATCCAGTATCGGGCTCCGATAACAGCATAATTTACGTATCGGATTTTCCGATCCAACCTGCAACGTGAGGACTGAGTTAGCAGCACTGTGGCTAACAGCTAACCAACTTTTCATCTAAACATGTCCGTTGTGTGGAAGTATTTTTACACTAGAAACACCACAAAACAAGACAGCAACATGCAATGTCTGCAGAGACATAGCACCACATTAAACCGTGGTAAAGTTAGTTTTACGATGGACATTCGAGCTCCGGGGCTTCATCGGTCTGTTATTTTTGTTCAGTCCGCAGCAAGCAGTCTGATTTTGGTCAGCCGCGCTCAGTCTGACCCGCTCGGTCTGTCCTTGTCGTCGGAGGGACAGACTGAGCGGGCTGACCGAGATCAGACTGTTTGCTGCGGATTGAACAAGAAGCAGACGTCGCTGAAGCCCCGGAGCTCGAATGTTTACCGAGAAGTTGCTAAACCTCATCGTAATTATTGACCAACCACTATCACTTGTAGAAAACGAAGGATTTCTCAGCTTGATACTTGCAGCCAAGATATAGTTTACCCTCCAGGAGATATTTATCAGAACAACAGTAGACAATCATAAAAAAAAACATGATTTGAAAATCACAAGAAAATTATATACATATATAAACGAAACAAAAACAGCTACAGTACATTATAAAGTGATGTAAAATACTAAAAACAGTCTGTTGGTTTATGCCATGAACTTAACAGATGTTTGAAGCCATTTAACATTTTATTTAATTCATTTATTCTTTCATTTAAAAGAAACAAAATAAAATCATCAAAAAGAAAACATTGAATGAAAAGGGTGCAGAAAGAAGAAAAAACTTATATCTGCCCCTTATTTAAAAAAATAAAATAAAATAACTTTAAACAATCACTTAAATTAATCGCTTTAATATCCACTTTAAAACTAGGAATAAAAATAAACATGTTTTGTGTTAGAATTTAATTCTAACTTTAAAACTTATCCAACATTAATAAAACTTACCTCAAGTTGCCTTTTTGGACATGCATGCATAGATTTGTACAAATTGTACTTGAGAGGAGATTATTACAGCTTCATATAAAATCAATGATGATCATGATATTGGAACTGGATCGGTATCGGCCGATATTTAGTTTTAGGTATCGGGATCGGATCGGAAGTAAAAAAAAAAGTGGATCGGTGCATCCCTACAATAAACTGCCCAGTGACGGACTGTTTTGTATCCGACACCAATGCATTAAAGTCCCGTTCTTCATGCCTGGTCAGGTTTAACGGCCTTTTCTTTTGTTTTTTTTGCTAAGAGGCAAGCGATCTCTTCCTCTCGTCCGTTGAGATGTCCTATCTTATGGTTTATCTATTTTCAACTTGGAAAATGGTGATGCATTGTTTTCAGACCACATGCCTGTTTTATTTGATTTTATTCCTGTTTCTAAACCTGTTAAGTCCTGTGCTCCTGCTCGACGCTGCCGTGTTTTTAACTCGTCCTCTGCTGCCCATTTCTCCACTGTCTTTAATCGTTTAGAGTCACAGCTCTCTGTGTCTCTCAGCACTGAGGAGCTTTCCTTATATTTTGATTCTTTATGCAATACTGTATTGAATGATGTGGCCCCGATTAAAACCAGGCAATCAAAGCCAAGATCAGACCCATGGTTGAGTGACCATACCCGTGCCATTAGACAGGAATGCAGGAGAAATGAACGCAAGTGGAGAAAGGACAGACTCCAAGTCTCTGATGTACTGAGAGAGAGTTGGCGTCATTATCAACGAGCTGTGAAAACAGCCAGACATTATTATTATTATTCTCTGACATTATTTCTGCCAACTCTCACAACCACCGTGTTCTTTAAAATACAATCAACACTGTCCTCAATGCACATGAACCGGTCCCTCTTGAAGCATCCAGAGAACTTTGTGATAAGTTTCTTCATTTTTTTCTTGGACAAGGTTATTAACACTAGGGCTTGTATCTCTTTTCCATCTCTTGATCCTTCCATCCCGGTCCCCTGTCCTGCTGTTTTTGATCATTTGGAGCCTATTTCCTTCTATCTAGAGAAACTTGTCACCATCATGAAATCGTCGGGTTCACCCCTTGATGTTGTTCCTCCATATTTTCTTAAGGAAGTATTTTCTACTTTTGGCTCCTTTATCTTAAAAGTGTTCAACAGCAGTTTGATGTTTAGTGTGGTACCAAGCAATTTTAGACATGCTGTGGTGCAGCCATTGTTGAAAAAAACCTGGCCTTGATCCATCTTCTTTGTCAAACTTTAGGCCAATCTCCAAGTTACCCTTTATATTCAAAATTTTGGAAAAAGTTGTTTACACGAGCTGAAGGCATTTTTGGATGAGTTTAAAATTTTGGAGGTCTTCCAGTCTGGTTTTAAAATGTACCACAGCACTGAATCTGCTCTTTTAAGGGTTTTTCATTACATATTTTTAGCACTGGATTCTGGAAACTGTTTTACTTGTGCTTTTAGATTTAACAGCTGCTTTCGACACAGTCGACCACGACATTCTCATCTCCAGACTGGAGCAGTGGGTGGGTATCACTGGTTCATCTCTGCAGTGGTTTAGGTCCTACCTTTCTGATAGAAGTTTCAGTGTGATGATGGCTAATTTTACCTCTGCTTCTGCTGCCCTCCCCATGGGGGTACCCCAGGGCTCTATTCTTGGTCCTCTCTTGTTTTCTCTTTACCTTCTGCCACTGGGTTCTATTTTCAGAAAGCATGGTGTGCAATTTAATTTATATGTGGACGACTGTCAAGTCTACTTCCCTTCGAAACAAAATGGCTCTACTCAGTCTCTCCTGGACTGTCTTGATGACATTAGAGGATGGATGGCACTTAATTTCTTCCATTTTAATGGGAAAAAAAGATTGAGGTTATGGTCTTTAAATCCTGTTGCCCTAACAGTTTCTCCACCTTGAATTTTTCCTCTTTGGCCCCATATGAAAAATCCATCCATCCATTTTCTTCCGCTTATCCGGGGTCGGGTTGCGGGGGTAGCAGCCTAAGTAGGGAGGCCCAGACTTCCCTCTCCCCAGCCACTTGGTCCAGCTCCTCCGGGAGAATCCCAAGGTGTTCCCAGGCCAGCCGAGAAACATAGTCACTCCAGCGTGTCCTGGGTCTTCCCCTGGGTCTCCTCCCGGTGGGACGTGTCCGGAACATCTCACCAGGGAGGTGTCCAGGAGGCATCCTAACCAGATGCCCGAGCCACCTCAACTGGCTCCTCTCAACGTGGAGAAGCAACGGCTCTACTCTGAGTCCCTCCCGGATGATCGAGCTTCTCACCCTATCTCTAAGGGAGAACCCAGACACCCTGCAGAGAAAACTCATTTCGGCCGCTTGCATCCGAGATCTCGTTCTTTTGGTCACAACCCAAAGCTCGTGACCATAGATGAGGGTAGGAACGTTGATCGATCGGTAAATTGAGAGCTTCGCCTTTTGACTCAGCTCTCTCTTCACCACGACAGACCTGTACAGCACCCGCTTCACTGCAGACACTACACCTACCCGCCTATCGATCTCAACGTTCCATTTTTCCCTCATTCGTCAACAAGACCCCAAGATACTTGAACTCCTCCACTTGGGGCAGGACCTCCTCCCTGACCCGGAGAAGGCAATCTACCCATTTGTAGCTCAAGACCATGGCCTCGGATTTGGAGGAACTGATCTTCATCCCGGCCGTGTCACACTCGGCTGCGAACCACTCCAGCAAAAGCTGTAGATCACGATCTGATGAAGCCAACAGGACCACATCATCTGCAAAAAGCAGAGACGCAATCCTAAGGCCACCAAAACGGATCCCCTCAACACCTTGGCTGTGCCTAGAAATTCTGTCCATAAAAGTTATGAACAGAATCTGTGACAAAGGGCAACCTTGGTGGAGTCCAACTCTCACCAGGAACAAGCCCGACTTACTGCTGGCAATGCGGACCAGGCTCAGACACCAGTCATACAGGGACCTAACAACCCATATTAAAGGGCCCGGTACCCCATACTCCCAGAGTACCCCCACAGGGTTCCCCGAGAGACGCAGTCGAACGCCTTCTCCAAGTCCACAAAGCACATGTAGACTGGTTGGGCAAACTCCCATGCACCCTCCAGGACCCTGCTGAGAGTGTATAGCTGGTCCAGTGTTCCACGACCAGGACGAAAACCGCACTGCTCCTCCTGAAACCAAGGTTCGACTATCCGACGGACCCTCCTCTCCAGAACCCCTGAATAGACCTTACCAGGGAGGCTTAAGAGCGTGATCCCCCTGTAGTTGGAACACAATCTATGGTCCCCTTTTTGAATAGGGGGACCACCACCCCGGTCTGCCAATCCAGGGGAGCTTCCCCCGATGTCCACGCAATATTGCAGAGTCGCGTAAGCCAACACAACCCTACAACACCCAGAGTCTTAAGGAACTCTGGTCGAATCTCATCCACCCCTGGGGCCCTGCCACCGAGGAGCTTTTTAACCACCTCGGTGACCTCAGCACCAGAGATTAGAGAACCTGACCCAAAGTCCCCAGGCTCCGCTTCTTCAGTGGAAGACGTGCCGGTGGGATTGAGGAGGTCTTCAAAGTATTCTGCCCACCGACCCACGACATCCCGAGTTGAGGTCAGCAACACACCACCCCTACTATAAACAGTGTTGGTGGTGTACCGCTCCCCCCCCCCCCCCGGAGACGCTGGATGGTGGACCAGAATCGCCTCGAAGCCGTGCGGAAGTCATTCTCCATGGCCTCTCCGAACTCCTCCCATGCCCGAGTTTTTGCCTCAGCGACCATCCGAGCCGCATGTCGCTTGGACTGCCGGTACCCATCAGCTTTTTCTAGAGTCCCACAGGCCAAAAAGGCCCGATAGGACTCCTTCTTTAGCCTGACAGCATCCTTCATCGACGGTGTCCACCACCGGGTTCGAGGGTTGCCGCCGCGACAGGTACCGACAACCTTGCGGCTGCAGCTCCGGTAAGCTGCCTCGACAATAGAGGCGCGGAACATGGCCCACTTGGACTGTCTCCTACCTCCCCCGGAACATGTTCAAAGTTCTCTCGGAAGTGGGCGTTAAAACTCTGTCTCACAGGAGACTCTACCAGACGTTCCCAGCAAACCCTCACAATACGTTTGGGTCTGCCAGGTCTGACCGGCATCCTCCCTACCATCGGTGCCAACTCACCACCAGGTAGTGATCAGTGGACAGCTCCGCCCCTCTCTTCACCCGAGTGTCCAAGACATGTGGTCGCAGATCAGATGAGACGATGACAAAGTCGATCGTCGAACTGCGGCCTAGGGTGTCCTGGTACCAAGAGCACATATGGACACCCTTATGCTTGAACATGGTGTTTGTTATGGACAATCCATGACGAGCACAGAAGTCCAACAACAGAACACCACTCGGGTTCAGATCAGGGGGGCCGTTCCTCCCACCTACACACCTCCAGGTCTCACTGTCATTGCCCATGTGAGCATTGAAGTCCCCCAGCAGAACAAGGGATTCCCCAGGAGGTGCACTTTCCAGTACCCCCTCCAAGGACTCCAAAAAGGGTGGATAATCTGAACTGCCGTTTGGTGTGTAAGCACAAACGACAGTCAGAACCCGTCCCCCCACATGTAGGCGGAGGGAGGCTACCCTCTCATTCACCGGGGTGAACCCCAGCACACAGGCACCAAGATGGGGGGCAATAAGTATGCCCACTCCTGTTCGGCGCTTCTCACCAGGGGCAACTCCAGAGTTGAAGAGTGTCCAACACCTCTCAAGGAAACTGGTTCCAGAGCCAGATCCATGCGTAGAGGTGAGTCCGACTACCTCTCAACCTCACACACCAGCTCAGGCTCCTTCCCCACCAGTGAGGTGACATTCCACGTCCCAATAGCCAGCTTCTGTAGCCGAGGATCAGACCGCCAGGTTCCCCGCCCTCGGCCACCACCCATCCCACATTGCACCCGACCCCTTTGGCCCCTCCCACAGATGGTGAGCCCATGGGAAAGGGGACCCACGTCTCCTCTTCGAGCTGTGCCCGGCCGAGCTCCATGGGTAAAAGCCCGGCCACCAGGCGCTCGCCCGCGTGCCCCACCTCCAGGCCTGGCTCCACAGTGGGGCCCCGGTGACTCGCGTCGGGGCGATGGAACATCAAGTCCATTTCTTTTACTCATCATAGGGGTGTTTGGGGCTGCACTTTGTCTGGTCCCTCACCATATGAAAAATCCATTTTGACAAATTTAGGAATGAAAATGGACCCCTGCCTGAAACTTGACTGCCATGTCAATAATGTGGTTAAGTCCTCTCTTTTTCAGCTGAGGCGCCTGTCAAAAATTAAGTCCCTCCTTTCTAGACACCACTTAGAGACAGTAATTCACGCTTTTATTACTTCACGCCTGGATTATTGTAACTCTGTTGATAGGAGTTAGCCAGGCCTCGCTCTCACGGTTACAGCTGGTACAAAATGCTGCTGCACGATTTTTGACTTGTACAGGTGTGAGCACATCACTCCAGTTCTGATGTCCCTTCACTGGCTTCCTGTCCAGTTTCAAATTCAGTTTAAAGTTCTATTGTTTGTTTTTAAGTCTTTCAACGGTCTTAGTTCTTCTTATTTGTCTGAACTGCTTCACCTTCACATACAATCACGTGCTCTTAGATCCTCTGACCAGATGCTTTTAGCAGTCCCAAAAACCTTTTATAAATCCAGAAGAGACAGAGCCTTTTCAACGCTGGCTCCTAAACTGTGAAATGAGCTGCAGCTGGAGGTCAGGCAGGCCTCGTCACTTTCTGTTTTTAAAACTCGTTTAAAAACGCCTTTTTTTCATTGGCTTTTAACCTAGTCAGCATCTGTGTCTTAATGTTGTATTCTTTTACTTATGATGTTCTGATAATTTAAAAAATATATATATTTAGATGTTTTTTATTGTTTTACTGTTTTTTGTTTGTTTTTAATTTTGTACAGCACTTCGGACGGCTGCTTGTTGTATTTTAAGGTCGTTTTCACACTAGATAGTCCGGTAGACTCAGTTCGGTTCGGGACCAATATTCATGATCTTTTGTTACATTTGAGCTGGTGCGTTTGCATTCACACTGCACTGTGCAGTCGAGTCAACCTGTTAAACCAACCTGTTCCCCTGCTCGCCTGTGGGGGCGCTGCACCAAGAACTAGTGAAAGAAACGACACAAAAACCTCTGAAGACACGTCTTCTTCTTCTTCTTCTGTAAATAAAAATAAAAACGAAGTGGCATCAAGTTTTATCAGTTTTAGGAGTTATATTTTGTCATTTTTCAACATTGGACTCAGCATGAACAGAAGATGAGACAGAAGACCATGGAGAATATTGTTTTTCACACAAGTCAGCTGACGGCTCCATATAAGAGAAATGCGTGTTTGTTTACCCTGTGGAGCGGGGTCAGGTCTGTTTACATTCACACTGCACTAGAACCGCGCTGGAGTTCGTTTCTACCAGACCGAGACCTAGGTTTTAGTCCGGGCCAGAGTTCGCCTTTTTGTTCCGTGACAGAGTTCGATGGTGCGTTCACACCTCCCTAAACGAACCGGACTTTCTAGGAAAACGAGCTAGAGTTCGATTAAAGCGGACTAAACAGGGCTAGTGTGAATGCACCCTAAGTGCTTTAGAAATAAATTGGGATGGTATGGTGGGCTGGTCTGATGTGTGGGCTGCAGGGCCAGCGCTCCCTGTTTTATTTTTTAGAACTTTATATTAACAACATATAAACACAGAACACTGCTGCCACTTGCTGCCAGCTCTTTTTTTTGTTTGTTTTTTCCCTTTTTTTTGGCAACCTGTCAATCAATCCAGTAGGTGCGTCAGCAAATGCCCAATCGGCAACTCAGTTTATCCCGAAGGTAAACGACCCTTGCCTGTGGAGTTGCTCTGCAGCTGCTGAAGGTGGATGCTCGAGTATGAAGTCTCAACCCTGCGGACAGTGGGCACAATTTCCGCACGGACTGAGGTCCACTCGAATCCGTGCGAATCTACAGTCTGCAGGGTTCTGATCTAAACTGTTCTGGTTTGTGTCTCTGTAGGAGTCCAGCAGCTGGGTGGCACCCCCGTCCTCTTACCTGCCTCTGTCACCCTGCAGCCCTCACCTCACCTTTGTCCCTCACCAACTCCTCTTCATACCATCTCTTCAGAGGCCCCTCCCTTTTCCTCCCCTCACAAGATGGCCTCACCCTCCTACTCCCCTCAAGCCACACCCCCTACAGAAGGACGCCCCCAGAAAAGAGAGGAGGCAGGACTGAAGGAGAGCCAATCACAGAGCCTGATAAAACTTGTTGCCGTGTCGACAGAACCCACCAAAGATAAGCACCAAACACACGAAGAACCTTCAGAGAAGCAGGAGGAGGTTGCCAATCAACAGCCAATGAGAGAGAGGCAGGAAGTGGAGGAGGAGATCCAATCAGAGGTGGAGGAGGAGCCTCCTGTGAGCCCCGTTCTGGACCTGGACCCTTCTTTGGATGAGGAGGTGATGGAGCTGATGTCCTCTGCTGCTGTCCCGTCCCTCCTGCATCTGTCCTCCCCCAGTCCGCCTCTGTCCTCCTACAGAGGGAAGGGGCAGAGCTTCAGACCTCCTCCCTGCTCCTCTCGCCCCTCAGATGACCTCTCCATCCGCCTGAGGCAGTCTCCCTTTTCCACAGAGGCCTCCCCTGAAACCTCCCCTGCCAGAACTCCCATCACTCCTCCTCCTCTCACTCCTCCCTCTCCTCCCCTGTCCAGAGAGTCTCCTCCTCTGTCCCAGGTAAGACTAACGATAGACGACAGTGTAATTCCTTGATCTGTTACAGAAGCACGATCCGTAGTGTACTTATGGGTCGCATGGATCGCCGTTGTTTATGAATAAAAACTTTCTTAATTTACTTATAAAAGTATGTGCTCTATCTGCACCGATCTTCATGGAACTAATTTACGTCACTCGTATTTCTGTTACAAATCGTTGGTTAAGATGATCTGCAACGCATTAGACCTGACACCCCCCAGCCTGGGCTGAATGAGAAAAATCCTGCAAGATACAGAATGAATTATTTCCATGGTGAAACGGCGCCGCTCGGTGGTGAAGCTGCAGATCATTTGAACCATGACGTAAATATGTCAATGATTTTAACAGAAATAGAGTGGAGTAAATTAGCAACATGAAGCTTGGCGGAGATACAGCACATACTTTTCTAAGTAAATTAAGACGGTTCTTATTCATAAATGGAATTATACCAGTACATTTTACTTAATCTAGCATATTCAACGGCAATCCGTGCGACCGTGTGAAGTATTCCTTTTAGCGCATGAGCAAATGAGCTACGCTACGGATCGTGCTTCCGTAACAGATAGGGGAATCACAGGCAGTGATGCTTCAGGCTGGCTCTGCCCCCCACTGATCTGCTGTCCTCTTTCAGGCTCCGCCCACCACAGTGTACCCACTCACCCTGAAGATCGGCATGGGGAAACCAGCCATCTCCAAAAGGAAGTTCTCCCCCGGCCGAGCACGGGTCAGACAGGTCCGATCAGAACTGCAGCCTTCAGCATGTTTCCTCACGCACACACGCAGCATGTTCAGGCATAGGCGTGTGCTGATTGGCATGTGGTTGCCACGGTAACGTGGCAGCCAACTCTCCTGGTTTAGTTTTTTATGTTTTGTTTTGTGGCTGTTGCATTTATGTTGCTGCGTTCTGTTCCCTCCCTTCTCTCCTCCTCCCTCTGCATGACTCAGGGTTCGTGGTGGAGCAGTCGCAGGGCGTTGAGCCCTCCCTCATCCTCCCAGGATTCTATGGGGGAGGGAGGCTGGGACAGCCCTAAGCCCCGTCCACCAGACTCCCCCCTCTGGAGCATGAAAGTGGTAAACAAGTGCACTCTGACTGTGACAGGCTGTAATTAAATGTGATGGTGTGAGAAATGAGCGCACCCTGACCGGTCCAGGAGACCTCCAGAGTTCTTCCTGCTCAGGAGGTTCAGGCTCTGAAGGAGAGTAGCACGGAAACTATCTGAAAACATTTACAAAACTCTGGATGTAAACCATGACTGCCTTCGTTGCATCATCAGTGTTTCCATGGTAACAGTTGTGTGACATCACCATCTGACACCTGTTCGCTTCTTTCTCCTACCTTTCTTTTTCCTCTTGCTCCTATTCAGGGTCGGGGCTCAGGGTTTCCAGGAAGAAGGAGGTCCAGAGGAGGAGGCATAGGAGGAGGAAGAGGAGGGAGAGGAAGGAGCCGCCTGAAGACTCAGGACAGTCTGACTGTGGTACCCGGAGTAAGATCACGCTTGCACAGATATCACCGAGGTAACAGGTGTGGGCAGGGCTCTGAGTTGTGTGTGTGTGTGTGTGTGTCAGGGTGGGTACGTGGAGGTGTTCCAGTCCAAGGAGGAGGAGGAGAACTCCATGCACAACACGGTGGTGATGTTCTCCACCTCAGACCACTTCACCCTCAAACAGGTAATCTCACCTGTACCTCAGCACACACCTGTGTTGTTCTGCAGTGTGTGTGCTCACCGTGTGTGTGTGTGTGTGTGCGTGCGCAGGACATGTGTGTGGTGTGTGGCAGCTTCGGTCAGGGGGCAGAAGGTCGACTGTTGGCCTGCTCTCAGTGTGGACAGTGTTACCATCCCTACTGCGTCAATGTCAAGGTCAGTAAGGCCTGTAATCTGATTACAGTCATCTGAAATATTGTTGCCCTTATTGTAATCTCATTACTGCGATCAGTAGTTGAACTCTTTGGATAATCATCTGATGTGTCAAATATGTTTCCTGGGGGTGTAATCTGACTTCTGGACATGATGCAGGTGACACGGGTGGTTCTGACCAAAGGGTGGCGTTGTCTGGAGTGCACGGTGTGCGAGGCGTGTGGAGATGCTAGTGACCCCGGGCGCCTGTTGCTGTGCGACGACTGTGACATCAGCTACCACACCTACTGTTTGGACCCGCCCCTCCACACGGTGCCCAAAGGAGCCTGGAAGTGCCAGTGGTGGGTGGAGCTGTCCGTCATAAACTCACCTGTCGGCGTGCGTCGTGTCTGACTGTGCGCCGTCTCCCTTCAGGTGTGTGTGGTGCTTGCAGTGTGGCTCCGCCTCCCCCGGGTTGCGTTGTGATTGGCAGAGTAACTACAGCCTGTGCGGGCCATGCTGCAGTCTCAGCCAGTGTCCCATCTGTCTGCGGCGCTACGCTCAGGACGACCTCATCCTGCAGTGCCAACAGTGCGACAGGTAACACTCATGTCTCACTCAGAGCCAGTCCGGTGCAGTCCAGTTCTCAACAAAGGTGTCTGCAGGTGGGTCCACGCCTTGTGCCAGGGTCTCGCCTCAGAGGAGGAGGTGGAACTTGCTGCCGATGAAGGCTTCGACTGCTCTCTGTGCCGGACCTACGGGCGCGCCTCCTACGGTACTCAACGCTTTTATTGTGAAAGTACAGGCTTTTATTTGAAATGCTGACTCTGATGTGTGTGTTTCAGGGAGGTCGGAGGGTGCGGTTCCCTACATGGCTCAGATCATGTCCAGGAACAGAGAACCAGGTCAGTCCTGTTCGGTTCTGTTCTATGTTCTAATCCAGACTCGGAGCCTCATCTTGGACTGGTTTTGTTCACAGACTCGAGGACCTTCACTCAGGATGGAGTCTGCCTCACCGAGTCTGGTCTAACCCAACTGCAGGCTCTGGTCGAGCCCCTCACATCACCACGAAAGTACCGCAGGTAAGCCCCGCCCACTTCCTGCCCATGCGAGATAATCGGGTAAGTAGGACTGACCAGCTGCTTCCTGTCTACAGGTGTAAACCCAAACTAAAGCTGAGGATCATCAACCAGAACTGTGTGTCCGTCCTGCAGACTCCACCGGACCCAGAGACGCCCACGGAGTCGGACCAGAACCGAGGTCGGTCCCTGCTGGTCCCCTTCACTGTCCTGATAAACCCTGATCACAAAACAAACCACTCAGGGATCAGTTTGTAATCAATGACATCACTTCCTGTTCTCTAGGTGACCTGGACTGTGACATGAAATCTGACTCCAGTCCAGAGCGAGACTCCTCCCACCTCGATGACATCATGAAAGATACTGAGGTTACCGACTGCAACATAAAAAAGAAGAGGAAACCCTACAGGCCAGGTGAGGAAGAGGAAGGACAATCAACCAATCACAATTGAGCACCACTTCCTGCCTCCCTTCACCATTTCCTATTTACGGTCTCATCCTCACCATTTCCTGTCTCATCTTCACTACTTCCCGTCTCTCATCCTCACCTCTTCCTGTCTCTCATCCTTTCTGCTTCCTGTCTCTCATCCTCACCTCTTGTCTCTCATCCTCACTGCTTCCTGTCTCATCCTCACTGCTTCCAGTCTCTCATCCTCACCTCTTCTTGTCTCTCATCCTCACTGCTTCCTGTCTC